ATTTGTTATTTGCACAACCATACATATACTTAATTCTTAACTAAGTTTCAGTCTTTCTAGTGTTAACACGAATTGCTTATATAGAATTAGCACAATTTTCAAATTTGATTTTCTTGGAAAAACTTGAGAGGTCCGGGCTACTACTTTATCAGATTGAGTTTGGGGTCTACAAATTCTGCAACTTTCAAGAAAATCTGTTTACCGTCACTCTGACCCACTTCTTGTGAGACACCTTGTATTATAATTTTTATACAACGAATGTTATTCCAATTGGAATTCATATTAAAAAGACTTACTCGATCGGCGACACCTCCCGGAAGTATTGTCTTGACGACGACACCGGTGCTCCGCCCGCCGACGATTCCGAACCCAAGACCGCTGCCATCATTGATCAGATTTATAACTTCAACTTGCGCCCATTCCGTGTTCAGCTGCAACAGAGAGCAAACACATAAATTCCATACGGCGGCGTTATTGTTCGATCCCGCCGTTCTTCACAGGTTTATCCGATCTCGTAGTAACAAGAAATGAAATCAAGGAGAAAGGAAAAGACGAGACACATTGTACGACACGGCAATATAAAATAAACAGCGATACCAGTAGAACAAGTGGCTCAAAGCTCGGCCTCCGTCCGACGGAAAATGATAATCATTCTCCGAGAGAAGATTCTCCTAGAACTACATTTATTTTCCACGTACAGAGAAAACTTGAAACGAACTGAATTGAGTAAAATAAAAAGACCGGCCAGTTTCACATGAAAAAGCTTCTTTTCCTTTTTGCTGGTTCTCAGTTTTATAGCCCGAGGCGTGTATTCCCCGGGCGGATAAGAAGATGCGTTAAAGTTGCAGAGAAAAATATAAAAGGAGCTTGATGCACTGTCGTCTCCAAGGAAATTCACCGCCCGAGGTCGTCCTGGGATTTTTCATCAATCGTTGACACCTATACTTATTTATAATTTCCGCAACAGCTGTTTCTACGTTTTCTCCCAATACCAGGAATAGTTGCAATCAATGTAATGAAGCTTTTTCATTATCATCGAAATTAATAGAAAAACGGGTGGACAGTTGAAAATTAGACGTGATAATTAAGACAGTCTCATGCATTTCATTTAGAGTTGCAAAAATAATTTTCGAACAATTTAAGGATTTGCAAGAATTCTCTTAATTTTTTAATATTTAAGTTTGACAATATTTGGTTCCACGTATTTAACGCACAATTTAATATTTATGTTGGAAAATTTCGATTAATTCATAAGATTAATAAAACCGAGGATGGAAAGCGCGTTGAACGGATTTAAATGAATTCCGATAAATTAATGAATAATTTAACTGACGTTCTCCAGGTCTGGAAAAGAACGAAAGCTTACATATTTCATGTACTTACGTACACACCTACGAGCGCGGATAACGAATTCAGAGCGCCCAGCGACGCAAATTAATTTATGCAACGAAAGGTTAACACACTGAATCGATTACCCTCATAAATTATTAAAATCGTGCAAGCAACAAAAGTTCATTCATGTTTAACCGAGGCAAACAGACGAGACAAAGCACCGTTTCGCCGATAAACTTGTGACGTTTAATCGGCAGTACTATTTCAAAAACACGAATTTAAGTAAAAATCCGGGGAATAAGCCGGCGTGATTTACACCCTCGGAACGCAGCTCGTCACGTCACGATTAGCAAAGAAACGATTTTCAAATACCGT